TGATACAGAGTTCACGATTTTCACATATATTGTAGATTATTACTAAGATATGTTGAAGGAATACGTGCAAAAATTCCTAAAGGTGTATCAGTTCTTGCTGGTCGTATATTGGGTTCATGCAGTTTTTTCATTCATCGAACGGATTCTCTTGAATTCATCCACAAGATATATGGATTAGGAAGTGGATGAATTTAAGACTCGAAGAATATGAAACAGTCTTCGTCTTCATGCTAAGCCGAAAAATGCAAGCTGACATTTTGAAACCAAAATAATTATTCGCGAATTTTTCCATTAAATGATTTACCGGTGTAAATGTGTATTATCAAATCCTCATAGAAATGAGTCATTTGAAAGTGAAGCGTACATCTGCTATTTCACCCGATACATTGAAAACTCTGACATTAAATGACCAGAGATACAGTTACTGACTTTTATGGGTGAATGGCACTGGCTTAAATCTCAGTGGCGATTTAAGTTTCGACAACTTTTACGACACTTTTCAAGGCTTCTTGAACACAAACGATAGAAAGAAAAAAACTTGAGCTTTCAACGACTGGCTTCTACCTGCTAAATCTACTGTTTTTGATGGTGTTGGTCAACTGATAGTCTTACTCATAATTGTTTTATTTCTCAGTACAGAAACAAATGTTTTCCGATTAATTCACAGGCTCCTAAATGTTAATAGGCCTAAGATATCCTATAATCTTTATGGCTTTATGGCTGTTTTTACAACAAAATGTGTTAGTATTCCGTTAGAGCCTAAAGTGCAAACACCTGTTTTATAGCATAGTTTGAAGTGAATGAAGCGCAAGCGGTTGACAATTAAAATACCACTAAAGTATTTGAATAACACCCATAATGTAATCTATTATTAACATGTGCTTCTGCTTTATTTTTCTATTTACTTTACTCTCAGATTTGTGTTCATTCACTTTTGATTTACGAGAAGAAATTGCTTCACAAATTTCACTGAAAATGTTTACTTTAAAAAAACATTAGCTTTGACTGATGGTATCTTAGAAGATACTGCATTTTGCGTGCATTATTGGGTGCGTCGGTGGCATAGTGATTAGGACTCTTGTCGACCATGCACATGGTCTAGGGTTCAATCTCCGGCCGACGCACTCTTGTACCTCACTAAGCCAGAAATAATGCTGGTAAGGAGGAAAGGTTGAGCATGAGGCGGATAGCAACCCCATCCTGCAAAAGAAACACTTCTACAGGAACTTCAAGCCACTAGCTTGAGGCCCTATGTTCCAGTGGGAACGTGAAGGAAAAAAAATTGGATTGCATCACTAGAAATGTAACTTGCGAGAGTAGATAATGAAGGGTATGTCATAGGTAATTCCCTGGTGTAATTCACTATTTAAAATAAGTAAGACAGTGGTTTTAGGTAGATAGAAAATTATAATCATTTTATACTCAGATATTTCTTCGAATTCATTAAACCAAAGAGAAATGAACTTTTTGAACTGCCACTAGGGTATATTTCAGTTCTGTCTTTAAATATAATATTAACCCCTAACCTTAATTGATGATTTTCTTTAGGTCCTGCCTTTTAACCCTCTCCCATGCTTTCTGATTTATTGAAAGAGTGTATGGTGTTCATATAGGCATCATTTAATTTATTCATTTTATTCGTTTGATTTCCAAGTGGAACCTGGACATGGAGCTAGAGGCTTGAAGGTTCGATAGCAATTGCGTTTATTATTTAAGGGATAGGGTTGCCAACCTCGTTCCCAACCTTCCGTGTTTATAAGTTTTGTTACTTCCTGGGAAATTTCCATTGAAGCATATAAAAAATCAAAACAAGTGATTCAGCGGAGAGACTCTTTTCAACGAATTTAACATCAAGCTGTACAATCGTATATATATATATATATATCGTTTTTAAGAAGTTATATTAGGTGAGGAAATTGATTCATAGGTGTGAATGCATAAAATAATAATAATAGTAGTATGAAATGCAATTAGAAACTAAAATGTTTGTGATTGCAATCATAGTTAAATGTCAAGTGGCAAAACAATTAATGTCATATATAGAATAATTCATAGGATGGATAGAAATTGAAAATGGTGTGCAGTTATAGGATTAGTAAGTAAATCAGATAAAATAAAAACCTTACGTAATATTGTGTGAAATTTAATAGCATATAATTTAACGTTGTAAAAAAGAATTGATTTAGAATGACAAATGGAACAAGTGAAATAGTACCGGGGACAATTCAAAGTGAGAGTAGTAGTAGTAACAATTGACGTAATAAGGAAGAGTATACAAATTGAATAGACAAAATGAAAAAAGGCCACAGAGATAGGGTGACCATTTTCGACCAGATGTTTAATGACTGTAATTCTTATTTCTCCACTTTCACCTCTTTGTAACCATGCAAGATAGTGTTCTTGCACCCTCTTGGAAAAAATTCGAGTTGAACGACCAGTATACCTAGTGACAAGGGACCAGACCATGTTTCATTTTTTACCAATGGGTACCCAGCAGTAGCAATTTGTCAGTTGGCCATTCCATGACAGCTTTTGATAAATCCATCTCTTCAGAGTTCCATTTGTCCCTCTTGATAAGTTCACATTGGGGAAATGAATACTCTTGTATAATCTTCCTTTATTACGTCAATTGTTACTGGTACTATTCTCACCTTGAACTGTCCCCAGTACTATTCCACTTATTCTACTTGTCATTCTAAATCAATTCTGTTTTGCAACGTTAAATTCTATGTTATCAAATTTCACACAATATTACGTAACGTTTTTATATTATTCGATTTGTCTACTAATCCTATAATTGCAAACCCTTTTCAAGTTCTATCCATCCTATGAATTATTCTATATATGAAATAAATAGTCTTATTACTGTCTTAGCGAGCTAAAGTAATGCGTTGATTAAGGATCGATCCTCAGACCTCATTTGTGGTTGGTGAGCAATCTAACGCTGTGCCACCTGCACACTTGTAATGCACAAAAATTATTAGGAACAACATGAAAGTGGTTTAACGTGAACTGTGTCAAACTACCAGTCTGATACAAATCTTTTTCGTATTTGAAACAAAGCACATTTTGAGTTGAATTTCCGCATTCACTAGTATCATTGGTCTCATAATTTTCTGAGCATGCCCAGCCCATATTTACCTATCTATAAATAATGTCAAAAAGCTTCAAATGTGATCAAGGAATTTAATTACCAGTGTTATTTGTTTAACGAAAAACAGGTTAGACAAAGATTAAGGATGTATTGATAAATTCCTTTACTTAGATAATTTGCTAACCACATAGCATTACTCATTCCTTTGTTAAAGAATATTTTCCCGCACTGATTTCTGTAACAAACAAATAGCTTTAATTAACATTCTCCTATAAGTCAAGACACCTCGTTTTAAATTGTACAGTAAGACTAAATTACCGGTCAGAAACTAATCCCCTAAGGAATAAAATTTTCTTAGAAGTGAACTACGTCATTATTGTAAGGCATCATGCATAGACTAAATTCCTTTTTTGAATAAAAACTTAGACTTCAATAGTATTCTCCACAAAAATGGCAGAGTTAATGAACGACTTGTTTTATCTTATTCATAAATGACAGAGTTATTTTGTAAACTTTTCCGTCTGTATTAGAAAATACTGTCATAATGTGGTTATCATGAAGTCCCTTTAGATTGAAATATCAGCTGCTTAGCCTATATAAAGAGTTTCCTGGGGATCTATAAAAGCTAAACAACATTTTAGTTATACATACTCAGAACAGCATGCCAATATTTATTCCCATTCTAAAAAGACATCATTTATTTGCATGTAACAATGAAACTGAAATGGGTGGTTCCACCAATATCACTCCCAATCGGTTTTAGCGTTACAGTGTTCAAAATGCTACTCATTTACCAAGAATTATTGTATAAAATTATTAAATAACAGCCTGTGTAGTAAATTTCCTTGGTAAAATCCTATCTCATAGTTTACTCTGTTGATCGTGTTAGCAGGGGAACAACTTCAGTACCATGATTATTTGAAGAAATTTTAAAACACTGGTTTAAACAGTTCTTCAGACTGGGTATAATTACCGAAAGTCACATTTGGGAAAACTAATATATGGAATATTTTAGTTTTATACAACCTTTTTATTACGCTAGCAGGTCATATTCTTGACTTCTAAATCTCTACCACCCTTTGCAGAAAAACCTACTGACCTTTTTGATTGTTTAAGATGAGTATTTGCATAACACTCACACTAGCCGGAAGTGCTTGCTATCTAGACTGAATGGATCTAAACGCTAGGCAACCAATTTGCTCTTTAGGGTCCAAGCTCATCAACAGTGTATCCGTTCGACTCAGCTCATAGAGACAAATAAGTTCAAAAGGTAATATCCCATTTCTGATTAGTTGATTGGACGAACTGGTGAACTAGCCGTCAATCAGATTCAAAATCCGCTAATTAATTGGCAATTAACACAGTTCAAGGTGATTATTTCACTATAGTTTCACTGGAAACCGAGATTTTTGAGATCAAAAAATGTGAAAGGCTTGATCCCACAAATCGTAATCAAGAAACCACGTGTAAAGTTTTATTATTTTGTTATTTTGATTATAGCTTGAAATCACACAGTATTTTTGACAGAAGTATGGAATTTTCAGCATGTGATATCGGTAGCCCAAATTTTGCAGCAGGCCCACCATTGATATCAGGTGTGCGCCGGCCGGGGATCGAACCCCGGATCATGTGTATGGTCAGCAAGAGTCTTAACCAATGTGCTACCGACGCACACAGTGTAGGAGACTATATATACTACTTTTATTACTACCATATGTTCTAATCTGCTGCCGTCTCCTTGATTATTACTTCACCACATCTGCAACTGGAATAAAAGTTTTCTTACAATTCTTTCAAATTTCTAGTTTTTGAGGATTAGAAGAAGAAATGAATGCTTGTATCAAATGGTTTCATGATTAATTCTCGATAAGAAGAAAAGATTAAAGAACGATCAAAGACGAATAAAATGGATTGGAATAAAAAACGTTTAAACTTGAATGAACCTACAGAGTTTGAATCACTTATAACCATTGAACCAATGGAAGTGAGTCAGGTGAAACAAGAGCCTTTAGATTTGAGCTTCGAGGAGTATGAGGTAAGTATTACTGTCGTGTTAACACTTCATACAGAAACACTTGCAGCTTTATTTTTAAACTATGTTAAATGATAAAAGACGAAATATATCAGTAACCAGTAGATTAGCAACCACAACAACTTGTACACTAGGCAATAGGCAGTATTTAATGTTGTACAGGCAAACACTGCTAGAAGTAGCAGCGTTTATGCATGTAGCCCACTGACTGAAGTTTGGATGCTCAGGCCAAGGATCTAATCATTTATACTTGCACAATCATGGATAACAGTGTTAAAATATGAAGCTATTTCTGTACAGTCTATGAGTCTTCAGATGTACACCCATGAAACTGAAAGGTAATGAGTATTTCATGTTTACTGACAGTTATCTAAAAGCTATTCCTTCAGAGTCAGGAGCGTCGACACATATGCTGCAGGAAATTTTATGTGATGGTAATTTATTAAGAAGAATAACTAACTACGCAGTCATGTATTAAGTCCTGGTATCTGACCTGAGTAACCCTACCTATTCAAATCTTTGAAATCCCTAATGCAAATATTCAGTCCAAAATCTGCTTCTTGAGTACTTTAGACACAACCAGGTTGTTTTTATCAGGAGGATAGTGATTACCCTATTATGATAAGAGGCTAATTATTTCAGTCTTAACGTGTTGAAAAGGTGGAGACGCTCTTTCAAATAGCTTGACAAACTTCCATGAGTGACGCGAATTTCAATATGATATTCCAACAATTTCAAAACACAATCTGATGGAATAGAATTTGAGGTGTTATTTAATAGTACGTAATAAATTATAGTGAAAATATAAAGCTATCTCAACAATGTCATCGGGCACCTCTAAAAGATTCTAAGGTACAAAATGCATATTGTGCAACAGAACTTTTTAATCAAAAACAATCAATCAAATTATCTGGGAATTAATAAGAATATTCTCATTGAAATGGGATCACAGCTTCGTCTGTGAAATTCAAGCAGATCAAACACTTAACCCGCAGACAGTTGAAGATCAAGCTTCAAATCTATGACTCTACCCAGGTGAAATCACAGACGTAAAACAACACATTTTTATCAGCACCAGCACAGAACAGCTAAAAGAGAACCACTAAAGGCAGGAATCAATCAAAGCCGAAGACCGTAACTAAGGATTAAGTCAAAGAGGGATACGCAAATGTTAGAACAATGATATACAAGTCAGGGGGAGTGGTAGCAATAACGCTGTTGATTTCCAGTTGATGCATATAAACTTGAAGAAGAAATCAGATTGGAAACTCGAGGGATCGATTAATCTTAAAAAATTTGGAGTGGTCTCTACTTCAATTTCAACAGCTTCTGCCTAGTTAGTTACAGACGAACGCTGGTGAAAACGCTTTTCTTCAGAGAGAAAAGAATATGTTCACCTGATAAATTAGACAGTGAACTAATGTTGCTTGAGAATTACTTGAAATAAAACTGTTATCCATAAAGTTTCATTGACAAATATGACAAGAATTAACGTAAGAAACCTGATGAACCTACGGTCAGCAAGAAGCCAGCTTTTTATCAAACTCGACTTCAAAGACGATGAAACCATGACAACTATAAATAAAAGATTAAGTGCAGCCCTGTCCAGGACGTATCCTGTAGCGAAACTAGTCTCTCTGCTGCGAACATCTTCCTCGTTGATGCAGTCAAAGATTGACAAGTGCCGCTCATGTGTAGCTTTCAACTGTATGTACCAATTAATATGTATTTGCAGGAAAAGTTACACTGAAAGCACAGAAAGAACGACCTATGCCAGATTATTCGAACATGTATTAAGGAGCTTCTGGTTAAATGGGTCAAGTAATTTAAGCTCTTCAATTACCAAACACCTAACAGACACTTGACACCGAGTAGATGTGCATCATTCAGAGGACATCTCAGCAAAACGGTCAAAAGCTGACATATATATCCAAAACGGGTCTGTCGTTGGACTCCAGTTACCGTGGTGACTTATCCCTTAATAATATTTGGTCTTCTTACTTTATCGATTTCTCTTTCCAACGTCCCCACGCCTCCTTCCTTCTGTTCGACTTATAAAAGAGATAATATTTCGTGACCTTATGAGTTCTACTCACCGTATTACATCATCACCTTTTTATCTGATGACACCTTACACACCAAATTTTGATCCTCTCTTATCTAACTATGAAAGTGCTACTAATTTTTGTTACCCACAAGACAACAAACTTGTCAAATAATTTTCTAGAAACTCCTCTCTAACAAGATGTATATATATATATATACTTGCACTTCAGCTGCCTTGTGATCCCAAAGTTTTACCTCTCTACGACACTCTTATAATATGCTTATTGATGACAAACGTATGTTAAAATTTTACGCCGAATTTTATTCATTGAAAATTACAGGTTGTATTCAGATGATGAGAGTCAACGAAACATTATTCGGCACCCTTGTTCGTTCTTTATCTGCTGAAATAACAAAATTAGTTGAAATATTCGAATAAGTATGAGTACTATAAATTTATTCATACAGGAATTCTCAGATTAATTATTCCGTTACATGTTCCTTTTTATTCCTTTTATCGTACGAGAATCCATAAGGAATTGTATTTCATGCAAATTTGAATCTAAGATGAAATTTCGTTTGTTTTTCAAGAAATCAAGTGCAGATAAGGGGGATCTGCCTTAACCGGTGATGCCCTTACTAACTAATGACTTATATATTACAATCTTTTGATCGTTGCGCAGCTCAGATATTCCTTCTACTTTAAGATAATCGTGTTTTACTCTGAATATCTTTCTGTTTAGTCCCATAAACTGCGACAACCAGCAGGCAGCGAGGAAACAGGCATAAAATGAACCCACACATAAAGCTTCGAGGATCTAGAATTCACCAATAATATATGTCTGCTTTCCCGCAAACTGGGAGAAGAAGCATCCAGGGAAGATAGAACTTAAGGTGAACATAGAGAAAACAGAGGTGATGCAGATCCCTGGCCAACACCAACAGCAACAACAACAAATAACAATCGGTTAGCATTAATGGGACAAATCTGAAAGAAGCAACCTCCTTCACCAGACTACCAGGTAAGCATCGTTTCAACTACAGGCGGACGAAACTGGAGAAGACATCAAAACGAGGATTGGAAAGTAATGTCAAGCTTTCATTCCTCTCAAATCTGTGTGAAGATCAACATCATTCCTCAGCATGAAAAATAACTTTCGGATTTTCAACTCCAGTGTGAACTCAGTGCCCTTTGCTGTACGGATCAGAGACTTAGAGCGTCATGAAGAGCACCTCGAAAAAAATACAGAACTTCATCAACAATGGTCTTTGTCCAATACTCAAGATCATATGGCCGGCCAGAAAAGATCAGCAACTGGAAGGGATCTCTGTCAATGATCGAACCAACCCAGTAGGAACCACTTGTGTAACAAATATGCAAGGAGAAATGGAGGTGGATTGGCCATACTCTGAGGAAATCATCAATTGACACCACACGCCAGGTCATCGGTTGAGTGGAACCCGAATGGGAAGTGGCGAGTTGGCCGTCGGTACGAAAGCATGTGGGCAGCTGTGTAGCCACGTGAAACGTTGGTGGAGAATCGGATGAAGTGGATACGTCTAACTAAAGCCCTGTGTTCCTCTAGGAACTAAAGGAAACAATTATAACAGTACCATGAACAGATACAAATACGTGTACAGCAAAATCGATGGGTATTAGAAAGAAGAATATTCCTCGATTTTCCACCAAAAACACTGAAGACACTACCTTGTCTGTGTGAATGTAAAGAGACATTTCGCCTAAATAATTAACTCTGACCATTGTAATACACTTTGACACAATTTCTGCCGTTTTTATTTTTATTTTATTACCCAAAAACCAGACTTCGCGAAAACCTAGTTCAATTCATATTTCACCGAATGAACCACGTGGAGTGCTGAAAAAGAAACCTCGTTTTGCTGATCCAATTATTATTGAAGAAGAGAATGTTGTTACTAGTAACAATATAGATTGTCTACTAAATGAGGACCAATTGATTGAACAGGTAATGCTATTATTTGATGAAATGGTAGTTACCCAGCACTTGTTTGTTTTGAGATAGATTCTTTTTTGATTTTGATTTAAAACACTGACAGTTCCTCGGAGTCTTGGAACAGTTTGTTTTTCATTTTATCAGGTTACTGTTTTGTGGTGTACAGTCTTTCTTGCACAGAAAGTTGGATGTAGAAATTCCTCATGAACATGTCATAGAATAATCAGTCACTAGATTGTCACTTTCTCTTACTGTTCTACACAATTCATAGTTATTACCTACTTTCCTTTGAAAGAAAACATGAAAACTTTGTTAAGGAATATTTATCTGCAAGTTATGTATCCCTTCAACGCACTGTTTACAGAGATCTTCGTGCAGTGGCTCTTCTGGAGCTAATATTGTGTTTCTCCGTGTTCCTTTCAAGTCTCTTATATATCTTCATAACGCTATATCATTTGCTTTCTCCGAAATCAAATATGTCTCCCTATTATATAATGTTTTTATGCCTATGAACGTCTCTTTTTATCCTACTGATAAATCCTATCAGTATCACGCGTCAAAATACTGGCAAGAAAACATCAGTGTGTTGGAAAGCCGACTAGGATTGTTTTAAAAAACTCGACGCTAAAACTACCTAGAGAAATTTACAATGTCTTTAGTCTGAAAATTTTTTACGCATATTATAGTTTGGTAGATTCCTTTGATTTGATTACTACCTCGCCCTCTTGTCTTGTAGATGGATAGTATCTCGGTTGAAGATCCTTCCGATAAACCTGGTGGTTCTGAAAATGAAATTGTGTAAGTTTTAATTCATTGTATTATCATTCATTCATTTGTTAAATATTTGTGAAAAATAAAAACAAGATATAAAGCGTCTAGTCATAAATTATACTTCTACAATAAATACATGGATTTTTTCATGTACTGCGAAACATTTCTTTCTTGCAACAGGTAAGGTGTTCTGAAATAATAGAGAAGATTTATAGCTCAGTTGGATGATTTGCAATTAATAGTGCTCGCTGAGCTAGTTGGTTTAGTTGGGGAGCTTTCGTCGTCCACCTCTTCTGGACAACAGCTTCAGCGCAGTTTTAGCATAAAGTGAAATGATTTAGATCTTTTCATGAGTGATATAATTTCATCTTCCAGTAACCATCTTTACCTATGCATTGATCATTTTCTGTTGACTTGGATTTTAAACTTTCTGGTCACCTGATTTACCTTTTATTAGTTGGTATATTTGATCTATATTAACTTGTTTGTTAATTGCATTTTCGTTTGAGTACCAGGCTCCTAGGAATTCCCTGACTGCACTTTTGGTGTTTCCTCTGTCTAAGATTTCGACATTATCCCAATCAAACTGATGTCCATAATTGTCTATATGCATTGATATGAAAGTATACATATCGTGTCTTGTCACGGATGGTTTGTGTTTCTGAATTCTGATTCGAAGGGGACGCCCACTCTGGCCGATGTAATGCCTGTTACAGTTCAAACAATTTATTTTGTAAATGGTATTAATCTTATCTCCTTTTTCTGTTCGGATCTTTCGGTATGCACAATATCGAATTAAGTGATTTGACTGGCTGGCTTGTGTGTTATATCTATATCAAACGGTTTCAATATTCTAACTGTTATTTCAGAGATATTTTTCATGTATGGTAGGATGAATTTTCTTGTGGTCTTTGATGATGGTTCCTTGTTGGTGTTTTGACTCGATTTTAAACACACTTTGATGAAATTTTGTGGATAATTATTCTTTAATGTAGACCGTTTGTAGGTATATTTCTCCCATTCTTTTCAACTCTGGAGTGCTATACAGTGTGTTTGAATTCTTTTAAACAATGTCTGCACACAGTTTCTCTTGTGGGTAATTGGATTATTGCTAGCATAGAATCCAAGCCGACAGAAAATGATCAATACATGTGTAAAGGTGGTTACCGGGTGGCGCAATTATATCACCCATGAAAAAATTTAAATCATTTCACTTTATGCTAAAAATTGCGCTGAAGATGTTGTCTAGAAGGGGTGGACACCGAAAGCTCTGCAACTAAACCAACCAGTTCAGAGAACACTATTAATTGCAAAAGGTGAGGTGTTTTTTATTAATTAACAGCTTATTGAGCATTTCAGTACAAAAGAATTTTAATGTACCACAAACTAATTCATTAGGAGATATATTCGATTATTAACATATTGTATAAATGTTATCCGACAATAGTGACTATGACCATATACCTCATGTTCACAGTCCAGAACATAGTGAAACCGTAGAAGACGAAGACTTGGCAAAGGAATGTTTATTTGAAAATCCCTATCTCTATGCAGCCAAATTATGTGTATATCTTATCTTCAACGCACCGTTTGCACATATCTTGGAGCAAAGTTAGAATCCATGGGATAGTGAATTTCAGACTAGGTGGCTGAATAGTCAACCAGCTTCATCTGGTGACCTGAAGGTCGCTGGTTAGATCCCTGGTTGGGTTGTGAATGCACACTGATGAAGAGTGCCAAAGTAGGACGAGAAAACTGGCTATTGCTCTCTGGTTTATCATGACGAAATCGAACAACTGCAATATTATTTATACATATGTATATCAATGGTTTCAAGTTTTCTAGTCTTGCATCCGTTACTAAGCTTATTGATGTTCATATTGAAAACAGAAAGAAGACTTTACTTACTCCTAAATAATGTCATTCAATATGAAACTGTAATGTCAGTTGCTTACTTCATGCTTGTTTTAATCTCTTATTTTTATTTCTTCTGTCAATTTAATTCTACTCTTACCAAACCTGTATAATCTGCTTTATAAGTCATATTTCATGCAATGTTAATCATAGTTTACAGATAAGAAGTAATAAATGAAAGGTCAAACCATTTTTTTGAAATTCAGTCCTTTCCCTTGCTCTCTCATAAACTATTCATGGTCTGATATATTTAGAATAAGAAACTGAAAGACTATAAAACTTCTGTGCTGATTAATTTTGTGACATTTTAATAAATTACTAGTTTTAAATTAGAAAAAGCTTAGTCATTCTGATGTTTTATTAGGCTATCGTAGTTGACCACTGTAAGCCTGTTTCATTTCCTCAAACATATTTACATTTATTGACGTTAGGATTATTTAGAATACGGTGTGTGTTTGAATGCGTGTACACACCAGTATTCATAATTAATTAAAATGTCCTACATATACTAATTTTTCAAAGGCAGTTATAGGGTTAAGGGGAGACTAACAGTTATTCAGGTATTCGGCTCACGGCAGTCTGCCTGAATTATTCGGCCACCTAATTTTCCAAAGACCATATTAAGTCAAATTTAACCAGTTATACTCTGTTTAAACCACCTGTTCACGTTCTTGAAAAACAGTCCTTGCTGACATGCATTCTTAAATGGCTTTCAACATACCATTAAGTCTACTTTTGAAGAGATAAGTGCGTCAGGGGTTGGAGTACGTTTCAGGCAGAACGAAACTGAGTAAACTGATACACTGTGAACTAGTGTTGCACTTGAAGACTCTGTATAAGAAGCAGACAAAATCAAGGTGAAAAATTCTGTTTAAATAAGACAAGAACAACAGTTTGTGCTTTGTTCATTGGCTTTTTATCAGCTGTGTATAGTCGTAAGAAATTTTCAGTTGCTTGCAAACGCTGTATGATGTCAATTGACAGGACGTTTCAAACTTGAGAAACAATGCACAGAAAATCAGACTTATGCAGTTTTTACCCAGAAAGTTCTAGTATAAAATGAATGTTTGCATGTAATGGCAGACGAGTTAGGTAATGCAGACTAGAGGTGAGTAGGATGATAAGCAATTAGTAAACTGAGAAAAACTCTTGTGAGTTCGAATCAGATCATAAAAACAAAAGACAAGCAAAGTTACAGTATGTAAAGAGGGGGAGAGATTAAATCGAAAGATTGCCTAATCAAATGAAAAAGAGGATAAAGATGACAAGCAGCGGAATCGGAAGCCCAATCGTACACCAGATAGCACTCGTGGCCCAAGTGGTTTAGTAAATAAAGCCTCAGTGTTTGAAACGAAGAGTGCTGGGTTCAGTTCTCTTTGGGAACACCACCATCTAATGATGATTGAGGGTACATTCAACTGACGAGTCCTGAATAGGAAGAAATGCAAATCCTGGATTGTACTGTCAGTCGTCATCCACTATATTACTGAATGTTTATTATTACTGTTAACCATTCCTTGCGTTCTGAGTAAAGCATAGGGATTCAGTAGCAAACGTCTGTTGTACTCAGTCCTCTGTGATCACTTTCAACCGGCTGCATAGCTGTACACAAGCATTCATATCATCCTCCTTATATGGTCTCCTAAAGGTCACCTTCAAATGCTCAAATCCAGGTTTCCCATTCAGGTTTCATTCAAGGTCCTGGTACGTGGTATCACTCAAAGGTCTCCTGAGAATATTTTCAATCCATTTCCATTTGTTTTTTTCATATTCGTCGAGCAACAGGTCCTTCATTGTCTCACTACCAGAGTTCATCATTTCTTATCCTTGCATGTTGGCATTCTGGTCTTCACTGTCGGGCATCCTGTGACAAATGCTTCCGATAAAGTACGCGCCAACTATTTGAGTCACATAGGAGCACTGACTTAACACTAACGTTATATATGCGAATCTTATTTCTTAGGCTAGGTCCTAGAGTTCTCCAGGATGATGAAATCCTCCAAACAATTAGAAAACGAAATCCCTACAAACTAACACCCGAACACTGATCTGACGCTCACTAGCGACTGGCTATATATCTGGGGTTCTGGTGGGAAGTCGTGAACAGTAGGCTACAGCAGGTTGAAGATGAGGCAGCAACTCATCAAAGAAGACATTGAGAAGTGGTCGCGCTATGTTATGAATCGGCAAAAGCTGGAATTCATGGACTGTCCATTGAATCAGGTCTGAGTGACTTAACGGTCTACGAGCTCGCTAGCCTTGCAACCGGAAGGTCCTAGGTTCGAACCCTCCAGCTCATGATGAAATCCTCCAACGAAATGACATATGTCTTGACATCCTTATCTTAGCCATGTGTAGATAAAGTGACGCCTTTTGTGTTAAAATTAGTATAAATTAGCACAAAATACAATGATCATTGAGGAAACCATAGTAATAATACGTTGCTTTTGATGCCTTTACAGAAATCATCTCAGTGAAGTCTTCGATTTCATCGGCTTTTTCATTTCCATAAAAATTATCACTACTTATCTGGGGGCATTATCTGGTTTACTCCTTGTGCCTATTTATAAGTAGCAGACATCACAGCAGATAGAGCCTATTAAAAGTAGCTGACTTCTTTAATATTCTTATTGCTTAGTCAACAGATGTTGTGTATTTGTTTCATATTGATTTACCTTTTTTTGACATGATTTATCTTCAAAACGGAGATAGATAACATTCATCCAGGTGTCAAGTAAATGTCACCTGTAAGTGTGTGTATGTGTTTACGTTTATTATCGATAAGACGAGCAAAGGTAAATAGTCCAGATATCTAGAAAAAGTTGTGCAGTTACTCTGATATGAATAATAAACAACAAAATTTTGTTGTTAGCAGACATTTATCTGATAAGTAATTCAGCGCTTATTATTATGGCTGAATAAATAAATGACAAATAAACTGACATGAACGTGAATGTCATACGTGTTATAGATCAGTGAATATTTTTGTCTCTCAATTCCTTTTATCCGTGATGTAATCAGAACACAGTTTTCTCCTTTTTTCTATTCTAGACAAGTAAATCGATGAACAATAAAAGAAACAAATACTAAAACTGAAATCATGTGCACTGAAAAGAA